GTAGATCAAGAAAACAGAAGGAAGGAAGGAAGGAAAAAAGGGAGGGAGGGAGGGAGGGAGGAAAGAAAGAGAGAAAGAAAGAAAGAAAGAAAGAAAGAAAGAAAGAAAGAAAGAAAGAGAAAGAGAGAAAAAGAGAGAGAGAAAGAAAGAAAGCAGGCCTAAGAAAACTTTATTTTTTTGGACCTAGGAAACTCAAGGTCATGTTTTTAGAAGACCCTGAAGTAGAATTATAAAACTTTTGACTTCTAACAAATACACAAAAAGTAGCATAATCCTTTCGATGCTTGAAAATGTAAATTAAGTCATCCATACTTTCCTGTTTGCTAACATTTTCTTCCAGCCATATACTGTTAAAACAGTATTCTGTGTCATAGGGTGGCTTAATATTATTTAGGACAACTTCCACTTAACTGTGTGAATGGGAAAAACTCATCTGAGGACATGCACAATAACTGTTCCTTGGTCTTCCTTCCCACCTCTTACTACAGAGATCTGAATGGGAGACTATCATCATCTCTCACAATTTAGCTTCCTCTGTGTGATCTCACTGTTGTCATGGCAATAATTGTAGCATTGCAATTTCAGTACTACAACCAGAGCACACTCCAGTGGAATCAGATTGGCAAACACAATCTGTGGGATGAAATCTCTATCTTTCAACAAGTGTCTGTTATGCTTTGAGACACTTCCCCCACCCTTTATTTGTGCTTCCTCAGCCATCTAGTCATACAGTCCAATCTCTCTTTAATAATTTTGTCCATGATTCTTCAGGGCCAACAGGACTGGAAGCATAAATATGATCCACACAAATTATTTATATCGATTTCATATCAGGTAAGGAAAAATTTCTAAATAGTTTCCTGTAACTAATAAACTTAAAGCATATCAACATTTGAAAAAATCCATCAATAGCTTTCAGTCTTTAGGAGCTCTTCTTAATTCCTCTAAAACCTCTGTAAGTACTTGAAGATAGGAGAGTCACTTCAAGCAAATAATAAATAGTTATATTAGGTCACCAAGTGACATTTTTAGCTGGAGGCTGCCTGGCTTTCGAACAGAGCCAGAGTCATATAATCCCTGTGGTAGCAGGTAGTGGTTGTATATTCAGCTTTTTAAAAATCTTGAATAAGTAAATTTAGAGAGGATGGTGAATAAAATGGTTACTAACTTTTTGTCTCCATTTTCCCATGAAAAATGGTCATCATCCATTTATTCCATCTTCTCTGCCAAACTATAAGAAATATTCCTTTAGAGTGATCAATGAAAGCTTACAAACAAGATCACGAAGTTGTACCAGTGTACCTGAGTTGGTCCTATTTGAAACCTGGCAGATAAGGTGGCCTTCAGTGTCATAAAATAATTGGTAAATCTAGAGACAGAGGTGGTTCTAGGTAAAAAACATTAAGTAATCATTTTGCTTTGGGAAGCACCTCCTCTTCTAACTACCTTCTAAATTCTACCCCCACAAAAAGAAACTATGATCTTTCCAGGCCTCTGACCAGTCAGGTTTTCTGACTAACTGTTCATCTGAGTCACTAAGTTCTCTCTAGGTGTGTTCCTTAATTCCAGACCTTTCTCTTTTCAGATGCTTTTCCTCTACCATGGACCTGTGTTTTCTAATGAGATAACAGACTAATGAGTACTTCTTTAAAAATATAAGTCTGATCTTGTCACTCCATGACTTAAGCCCAGTGGTGGCCTCCATCATATGTAGAGTAATAGTTGAATCTTCATAGTTGCTACGCAATCTAGTCTCAATACCTGTCTAACCCGACTGTCCACTGTGCCCAGCCCAAGACCTGGGCACACACCATTTTTTTTGACCTGGACTGCTTCTCCCTCAGATGTCAAAACTGCTGGCCTCCTCACCTCCTCTATGTCTTCTTGCTACTTCCCCACTGTGGCATTAGCTCTCCAATCAATTAAAAATGAAATGTTCTCTATCAGCTAACCTTGTAATCGCTATACCACTTAACTGCTTACTTTTTTCCATAGCATTGATCTCCATATGTTTATTGATCTCCATTTGTTTATATGTTTACTATGTGTCTACCCCTTTCTCCAACAACACCCTGTAAAGAAGCATCATTAGAGAAAGGAATTTTTTCCTGTATTGTTACTTTCTCATTCTAATGACAAGATAGTCACTAGTTCCTGATAGATGCTCAATAGACATTTATTAAATAAATAAGAAATAACCTCTAAACTAAGGGCAGAAAAGAAACAAATCATATTTCTTTTTTTTCAAGTTTATTTATTTTTGAGATAGAGTGAGCACACACGAATGAGGGAGGGGCAGAGAGAGAGGGAGAGAAAGAATCCCAAGCAGGTTCCACACAAACAGTGCAGAGTCCAGTGAGGGTCTTGAACCCATGAACTGTGAGATTATGACCTGAGCTGAAATCAAGAGTTGAATGCTTAACTGACTAAGTCACCCAGTGTGCTCCAAACAAATCTCATTTCTATAGAATGGCATAAGTGACTAAATGAGAACACCCAGTTTCACTTTCTCATGAATTTGAACTGAGGTGTAATGGAAAGAATGAGTCAACTAGTACTCAAAGTTGAGACTTGCAGGATACAATGAAGTAGAGGCAGATGTCAAAAGCCAAAGTCATGTGGCAGCTGGGGCAATGAGGTATCAAAAAATACAGCAACAGAGGTAGCCAGTGAGCACATGGACTTGGAACAAGTACATCCCAGGGAAATGTAGCTGCCGCAATAGAAGGAGACTAGGAGGTCAATGAGAGGCACAAGGACCCATGGTCACTACCTTTTTAAGAAAGTCACTCTAGTTAGACTTGTTCCATATTACCAAGAGACATAGGTAGGACTGCCATGCTGAGATAGACTGGCTTAAGATGTTACCTTTCCTTGGCAGCATATACTGTGCAGTGTCTTTTGTAAAATCAGTTTGTTCCTCCAGTTCATATTTTCTAGCAAAAGCATTTCCAGTATTGTGCTGGGTGATTGTAAAAGAGAAAGCTTTGATTTCTTCGTTTATTGGCCCTTGGAGTCACGTATCCAAACCATCCTTTGTCTTTCTTGTAGAGCCAGTCCAAGTTGGGCTTTAAATTACAATGTAATCTAGAATTGCTCCTTTAATTTTATAAACAAGATAATAAGGGGAAGGGGGATAGGGAACGTACAGCCTAATGGTGCGGAGGACTGCTTCTGAATGCGAAGGGGAGCATTGGCCAGGTTTTAGAGCAGCTTGAACTGGGAATGCAGGGGGATGAAATGACGTTGAGCTGAGTAGCAGCTTCCCCCTTCAGCCTGTGTGTGTCTGTCTACTTCACCACGGTCCATACCACTAACTACTGGCTCTCTCCTTGGTTGTGATACCATTTATTAGGGTGCCGGTGCTGTCATAGTGGTGTACACTAGCCAGCTCTGAGAATCCAGAGGGGCCCTTCAGAACCAGCCAAGAGGGTCCTTGGCTTTGCACAGGATAGAAACCAAATGTGAGCCAAGAGGAAGAGAGAACAGAGTTTACTGAAGATGTAAAAAGAGTGTAGATATGGACAGAGCATCCAGGAGACTTGGAAAGGAGAGTGAGTCTCATCTTTGCTTGGGGTCTGGGGTCTTCACTGAGGATTGTAGTCTGGTACACATATCTTCTCAGGCATCCGGGTGGACAAAGACTGTTGAGATGTCCTCTATCAGTGACTTAGCCCTGGAGCCAGGTGTCTTGGTGAGTCAGTGGTCTTGGAAAACCCTGCCCAGTCACTCCTTAGATGTTACCTATTGTGCTGGAAGACTCCAAAGAAATCATTAACTCCTTGACCTTTGTAAGGAGGACATACATACATGATCTGTTCTGGAGATCCTAGCGAGAATAAAAGCAGGAAAAGGAGCAAAAAAAAATGCTTTTTTTCATGGATTCTCTTAGTTTCCCGGTCTCAGTAGGGTATAGGAGTATTTCTTGATACCTTTGTTACAAATAACAGTAGACAAGAGGACTGAGGTGACTTCATGATTTTATTACATCTGACCCTCTTTACTCACTGAGGTTACCTGCCACCGGAGGGATTTGTGTTTGTGGCCACTGATCATCTTAACAGTTCCTCTGTAGCTCTGAGGAAATTATTATTCTCAGAGGTTTAATGACTTATCTAAATTGACATTAACAAAAATTTTAAATGCATCTGGCTACCTCTGACTGTCTTTCATTGACCATCTTGATAGACTCAAATTAACATTTTATCCCATAAAAGATTTAGGGGCTGTGGTTTATACCCGGTATTCAGCCAGCCTCCTTGGTATAGGACTCAAGTATTCCCTGTAGCTCTGCTGAATTGACTGGCAACATGATAAGGCATCTAAATTCTGCAGGTATAGTCATTCCTAGCAACCAATTTGATTTTTGACGGACAAAGAACCGCAGGAAAGTAGATGCCTTTGTACCTGAGAAAAAAAGAAATCCCAAGCAAGATAGACATGCCCTAATCAGTATGCTCTGAGTATGACAGCATGCAAGTGAGTGATCTGTTTTGTTCTGAACTATGGCTCTGTCAATGACAGTACATGATTTACTAGAACAAATCAAATAAGTGTAATTGACTCCTGTTTGGACGTTTCAAAACACCGAATCATATTTCCTTATGCAGTGCTCTGATTCTACATTCTTAAATTTGACTTTTTCGTATAGAATGCCTTTGTCAAAAATGCAAATGCAAATAACAATGAATCAGGGTAGAATTGTTTTTGATGCTTTCAAACATTGAGGAAAGAAAGATTTCTGCATGAATATGATAATGTGGTAGATGAGGGTCAAAAAATTACCGCCTCAAAAATTGATTTGGAGATTTGGACTGTGCAATCGTCAAATGCTTCAATGCTGTGTTGTTCCTGTTATAGGTACATGTGACAGCGCCGCAGCTATGAGTGGAATTTTAAAGGGGAAGTTTGAAGAAATTGGCGGGTCTTCACCCTGCTCCTCTGTGCAGGAATCAGATGATGAAGTTTTTAGCTGTGACGGTGCTGACAGTGTTGATAGTGTCAATCTGTCCACTTGTAATCTTTTCACTGGTGAGTATCCGAAGCCATATTTCAGGCAGTACTCTAAATTGTGTTGTATAGTTGATTCCTGGAGTTTCTATCTTTATTCATTCCCTTATATCTGCTCCAAGTTTTTTGTCATATCAGACTTACTTGTAAAACGTGATATCATTTTGGGTAGTTAAATCTCAGTAGTATTCTTCTGTTCATCTCTATGAAGTAGGTCTGAGAGGCGGAAACGAGTCCTATTGAAGGTAAGCAATTGAAAATGGTATCATATGCGCCTTCAGCTTTCTGAAATCCATCTCAAATCCATTTCAAAATCTGATCAGTTGAGTTCTTTTGAAATTCTAATAATACTGGTCAATGAGTTGCAGAATTAGCAGTGTTGAGTATAACACATTTATTTCCTACATGAGAAAACGATGTTTGTTTTTAAAAGAATGCTGTTCTGTAATCAAAACCCTGAAAGCCATCAGCTTCTATCATTGTTGGAACACTGGTAAACCTCAGGAGTGAGGCCAAGTTCATGCACTACAGTAAGTACAACTTTCTGCATGTATATACCTTTCCTGAGCAGTTAATGTGAACAACATCATTTGCCTTAGTGTGGTATGCTCTAACTTAAATTCTAGCTATTTCAAACTGCCTTCCCTGTAACTGGTACACATTAACTGATTTTGGAATAGGTGAATCTTCCCAAAATCTGTGTGTCCCTTCAATCCTAGTCATTAGGGAAAGGGGAATCTCTAAATTAGATTTCGAAGTTAATCATACAAAGCCAAAGTAAATAAGGTCAAATAAAGTCCCTTAGGATGATGGGGATAAACTTCCTTTTAAAGCACCATTCCATAAGTAAAGGTAAAAATTATCCAACACAAAAGAGAGGGGTTTCTTCCATAATAGATTTTTCTAGTATTATTTTTTTGAGGCATTTGGGTTTGGGGATTTTTAATTTATCAAAACAACCTTTTAATATTCACACTGATGTTCATGCAATGTGGTTCTATGACCCCTGAAATTCTACTTTTATCCTCTTTTCTTCTAAGAATTCAAAGGTTTGTTCGATATTCATGAATTCTCTATCATCATTGTTATAAGCATTTAGAATAAAAATAGGTATAATTTGATAAGAATGTTTAGTCTTTGTATTATTTATCTCTTGACTAAAGTACCACTTACTTTTATGAACTTGTGAGAAGTATAAAAAGTAAGGAGGAGATAAAGAAACACTTAGAAGGAGGAAGAACATAATAGTTGTTTTGAGAATGAGATTCTTTAGTTACATGGAAAGGTTACTGTCAGTCAGTGGGTTTTGGGTGGATCGGTTTGTTTGAGATTTATCTTTAGCCTTTTCACCCCCTCCTCTAAGCGACCATAGCCCTGTGAAGAAGACACACCTTGCTGTCACCCACAGTGCCTAGAAAAGTACTGAGCACTGAATGATGCTTAGACTTCTTTATTGAATTAAAAGATTAAATTTAGAGAATTTTTAGAAAATAATTGTCTTTTTTTGACAATAAATGTTCCACTTATTTAAAGTGTACAGCGTGATGTTGTGATATATGTATGCATGGTGAAATGATCACCACAGTCAAGCTAATTAATATTTCTGTCACCTGACATAGTTACATTTTTTGTTGGTGGTGGCAGTGGTGAGAACACTTGGGATCTATTCTCTTGACAAATTTCAAGTATGAAATACATTATTTTTTTAAATTTCAGGAAATGTTTAAAAGCCAGAGAGAATGAATCTACTGGATGTCTTTATCCTTAGTATATATTTAATTTCAAGACTCTAAGGGACACTAGTAAGAATATGCCTGTGTACCTTGGAGAGCTCTCCTTCTCTAAGCCCCGGAAAGTGCCAGGAGCTGCCTAGAATTTTTCAACTTTTTTCCTTTAGCCACCCCTAAAAAACATCATCAATCTAGACTCTATTTCTCTGAGATACCACCTCATCCAGTACAGCAATTTCCACATGCCAGTGTTTTTTTTTTTAAACCTTCAGCATGCTTTCAAACTCCCTGGTGTCTATGTCTCTCCTAAAGTTACAAATTGACTCTCTCCTGGAAAAATCAATTGTAGGACTCTCTATGCAAGATAACCATTGATTTCTATAGCTTGTGAGTTCAAAAAGTACCTATAATGTTCATTTAGACACCATCAGGTCCCACAATTGTGGCTCAAGATGCTTTCAAGATGAAAGTGATGTTCTGGTGGCTTAGAGGAGTTTGAAAAATTATAGGTTAGATACTTGTTATAAGCACCTGAACACCCAGGAAGGGTAAAAGTTTGAGTGGATAGTGGTTTTATTTTGGTAAAATAAACTATTTGATAGCTATTTTGACATCTGTTCACAACTTTTCTCTTTTATCACCATCAGGAGAGTCTGTAGAGGACGAGGTGTCCAGTGTGCACAGAGGAGAAGTCAGGCTGATAAAGTAGCTTCAAAGGTTCATTAGCTTTCTTGTGGCAGTGTTGTTAATGTCCTTTCCTTAGTAAATTTTCAAGGGTTTTGAGGAAAGCATTTGCTGATACTACTCTGTAAGGAAATGATATGCATCATTGAACAACTTGTAATTGAATGTGTGATTGGAACCATGATTTGAAATAAACAGTAGGGAGGAGGGTAAGGAAGAATGAATGGAAAATGTTGCCTATGGATGATTCCCTATTTTTGTGAGGTATTCTTACCCTAATCACCAAAATGAAACTTTACTAATTATTTCATAAATTTGGGCAAATTGAGGAAAAAAACCCATTTTAATTTTTTTTAGAGAATTCAGTACTATGAAACAATGAGACAAAAACAATAGTAAAGAGCCAACCCTCAATGTGAATTCAAGGAATATTAGGACTAGTAAGGCCTTTGAAAATGTCTAGACTGTGTTTCTTATTTTAAATATGTGGAGACTGAGGCCCAGCATGGATAACTAGACAGGGATCCAAATGTTAGCTATTGACATAGGACTTTATTGTAGATCCTTAGAGTCTGCCTTTCTACTAGACTGTGCTGCTCTCTGATGGGTCTATATCACTGACTACTAAGTCGAGGGACTCATCTAATCAATACAGGGACATTGGCTATATCTTTTGTGCCAGCTCCTCTTAGAAATAAAATGAGTCTACCTTTTGGTAAAGGCATTTAGCATCTCCTCTCCTCTTGGCTTTTTTTTTTTTTTTTTTGACTTTGTGTTTTAGTCAAAGTTAGTATCTCCCAGATGTAATGATATAGTGCCAGTGATGAGTTTATGAATACATTCAATGAGCTAAAGAAATAATGCACAGAGAATTCAGTTTGACTGTGAATGAACACTTTCCCTTCCCCTTTCTGTAAGTAAGTGACAGGGCAGATTGTTGAGACTTACCTTGTATGTCACTGACATTGATGGAAATATCTTACGGCAAACATGTTGTTTTACATTTACATGAAGGAAATTGGTTTGTCTTGGTGACATAATGCTGCTTGTGATAATGTGAAAATGTTACAATGAAAAGAAGATGAGATGAGGTATGCAGTATGCATCTTTAACAGCAGCTAACAAATACAGGGTTGTTTCATTTACTTTAAAAGTAAAAGCCTTTGTACATTCCACTTTTGCCAGAGGGGTGAATGGGCATCCTAGACTCCCTGGGAAAAAAAAAGAAAAGATAATGATATCTTTCTATCCCTTGAACTCCAGGACCCTACATTACTTGTTCAATAATTCAAGACTTCAGAAACCCACTTACCTTGCATTTCGATTAGACTCACTTAGTCACAGCTTCTGACTGAATGCAGTAATTATATTCCATTTTGCTGCCTATGTTCAGAATTGGCTTTTATATTTGCTTGTTTGTTTTAAGCCCTGGAAAACTTAAATTTGTCTTTAATCTTAAAAGCACAATTGGTCTGAATTTGAAATAAATTTTTATATATCAATATCATAGTGAATCTAGAAAAACAACACTTATTGTTTGTGGTTTTAACTGTTAGCTACCATTAAAAACTCAATGTAGGTAATTCTACTGGTATTAATGGTACCATTTCTCACATTATTCAAGTGATAAGTCCTATTAGCATGGGATCCAAAATATATCATAGAAAATCTTCCAATTTCCCACATCTGTTATTTACTCAGGATGTCTATAGGTAGAATTGATATTGTAGTTGTATTTCATAAAAGTACAGGAATTATAGTTGCTATTAAATATTAGAGACACTATCTTCACATTAGTAATCAGAATATTTTCATCTGATAATGTAATTTCTTTACAAATATTTCATAGAGTATTTGCATTTTTTATAAACCTCTTAATAAGAACCACATCCTTATTTTGGGGTCACCTAGGAATAGTCACAGGCAATAGATAGATGATTGCTCAATTGCAAAATATAGTGACTTCAAAAATGAATCCAAGTGAAATTTAGGTGATTAAAATTCTAGTAACCATTTCTAAGTCCCATAATCTTTTGGCTTTGGTTTGAATACCAGAGGTTGACTGGCTTTATACTTGTTGTTTATGATGGTGACGATGAAATCATAGTGCCTGAAGCAAATGTCCTTGTGTTTCTCAAAAGATTTTAAAATTCATCATGCAGATTAGGCAATCTGATGCTTTCTGACAGCTCGAGGGAAGTATATTTGTGTGCATGTGAATGCAGAAAAGAATTAAATCTGCTCCTGCTAAAAAAAAAAAAAAAAGGAGCCAGTTGGTGCTATTTCTGAATTGGCTGCGATATTTAACCATTTCACTCTGGAAAGTACATGTTTGTACTCTGAAAATGTTCCTTTTTTTTTTTTGTCTGAGGAATTTGGGAGTAAACTGGGAATGTTTTAGGGCCACAGAATTGTTGTAGCATATGTCCTATATGTTCAGCTACAGTGATCTGGCATGAACTAGAATAGTTAAATGTCTCAAGTTTACTGAATTCATTTGACAGTTGGATTAGGATTAAAAGTATAGTTTTTACATGTAATGAAGAATGAGCAATCGTAATAAATATAACAAAAGATACATATTTGACTTTCAGAGGTCAGCACATA